ACGAAGCATGTCACCCTCAGATCGGTCATTGAAATCGATTAAGCGCGGTTGAGGTCAGCGTGACCAAACTTGAATTTATGACCACGATGGTGCTCGCGGGGATCCTTTCGAAGCAAGCGCGGGGTCCGTTGGAAAAATAGAGCTCCAATTTAAACCACGAAATTTTAGGGGGTGGGATGTTTCGGTAACCCTAGTACTTATTATAACCCCCCTCACCCCCATTGTCTCTCAATTGTCACATCTGCCCGTTCCCGCTGCGCAAGCTGTCGCTCGTGGATATCCTGTCATAACAGACATGAGTCGAACAGCTTATTAGCGATATTATTACTCCAGCTCACAGTTGCTGCTATGTCGGCGTTTAATTTTTTCTCATCGCACGCATCTCAGTCCAAAAATGTTCAGGCAAGGTAGAAATTGAATCTGTACACGGAGAAAAATCTATGGCTTTTGAAACAATTAGTGGTCAATATGGAACACCACTAATCGCAGTGAAGGCAACATATAATAATAGTACGTATACCATACTATGCTACAATCTACCACAGTATGGTGCACAGACCGATAATTATCGGTTACCGGGAGTGTGAAAAGCCTGAAAAGTAAAGGGATTCACGGCGACCTGGAAAAGTCGGCCAAAGTTAGGGCATTCATGGAAGAAGTCAGGTAATTTTGGAAGCAGCTTTTCGCAGAAGCTGCTGCAGTTTAAAGCAAAAATATCTCAGTAGGAGTACTGCTGTAAAGTCCGGAATTTTGAAAATTTTTGGAGTTAAGGAAAAGCCACAAAGAACAAGGAGAAGTCAGGGAATTGGAAAACGAAGAAATTGAGGAAACTCTTTTGCCGTCCTTTTTTTCAGTGTAATTATTCCTTTAGTGTGCACATTAATTTCTGTTTCGCTGTACACAGCTATATTTTTCCCGAGATAATCCTGTTTTTCGTTTTGATTGTTGCAGCTGAAAGTAATTTGACATCGTTCAGCGAGCTGAAGACGCACTTCACGCGGGAACACCACACGGACAGCGGGTTCTTCACGCAAGACAGTAGACCAGTGTTCATTCAAAGGCTCTACGAAGCCGCCGCCAAAACCCCCATCACCGTCCTCGAGCGGCTCAAGAAAAATGGCTACCCCTCGGCGAGCTACTTCTCTTGCACGCCCGTCCTCAGCACCAAAAGAAGGCGCTACACCGTCGACATCGACATCGATATCGAGACGCGAACGGTGAGTCAACACATACTTCAATATCACCACACCAAAACATACATATTTTTACATATTATTTTTGTGATTATACACGGAGAAAAAAACCTCGTGCGTGGGACCCGAAGTTTAGGTCATATGGCTCTCTGAAGTTTTCGGATTGAGCATCTGAACACTTCAGGTCTAGCTGTCGAGGTTCGGATCACACATCTGAAACTCCAGTTCTTTCATCTGAAGTACTTTAGATGTGAGAACCGAAGTTTTTCGGATGTGAAAACCGAAGTACTTCAGATGTAAAAACTGAAGTTTCAGATGTGTGATCCAAACCTCAGCAGCTGCACCTAAAGTGTTCAGATACTCAATCCGAAAACTTCAAAGATACATATGACCTAAACTTCGGGTCCCACGCACGAAGTTTTTACTCCGTGTAGTGCAGGCATAGTAATAATTTTCTAGAGAAAATTGCGAGCGAGCCAATTTTTTTTCTCGTATCATCGGGTAACCGACTACTCGAGGTTCTTTTTACTTATATTTTCCTACCGATGCTTCCTCGCAGTTGAAGGAATTACTCACAGTAATTATCATAGACCTTTTGAAAGAAACCTCTAAGAGGAGTATAGAAGTGTAATTCGGAGAATCGATGATTATATGGTCTCTTATGCTCCGTTTCTATCCGATTCAGTATACATTTTTGATAGGAATTGAAAATTGATTTCGGATAGCGCCAAACGTTTTCCTCTCCATACCGGACATTCCGTCAATATCGTATTTTTTCCTCGCACGGCTATCCGCGCTATTAAAGGCAAAAAATAAAACATCAAAATAACATACGGAGATCTTATCAGTCGGAGTATCTCGAAAGTAGAGCCTGAATTTCCACCGCGGTCAAATTAACTTCAGACATAATGGTCGTGGTCGCATCAAGATCTGAAAAGTGGGTTGCCAAACGCCCAAGTTTAACCCTCGTTTTACGCCAAAGGATGTAAGAATTCCTCAATCTCCTGCAACCATGGCTGGAAATAAAATTAAGTTAACCGCATGCCAGAAATGAAGACTTGTTAAACATTTTATCGGCGTGTGGAATTCATAGTCGCAGGGTTGCAAAACCCATCGAAAGTTTACTTTTTTAATATTCGTCCTCCCATTTTAAATTTTTTGATGGCTCGTAGAAATATCATGATTTCGGATAATACATTAGCATGCTGTAATAAACAATAAAATAGTTTATGGATAGTGTTGAATTTGTTCTCGATGTGTAATTGGTCTCAGGAAGGCAGCATTGTGACCGAGGTCCGTCAGAGTGGAGGCAGGATTAAATCTCAGGAGACAGGCGTTATAGAACTTATGGTTTTACGGGTGGAACGTGATTAGGTTACTCTTCGCCACCCTGATGAATTCCTCATGATTGTGTGATGATGAACCACACGGTAAACTGCCGCGCTAAGGAAGAACGCCGTATCAGCCTTTGACTATTGCCAAATTTCCTCTCTGAAAATATTTATATTTTTGAAGGAACTATGAACATTTTCATTGAATTTTTCAGACACTTTAAAGCAAATTAGGAATAAAATTCTCTGAAAAATTGGAAGGAAAATTTGTACAAAATTTCCCGGAAACTTGTGATTTGCCCAAGGAAATTTGGCAACACGTAAAGGCTCATACGGCGTTTTTCTTTAGTGCGGCACCAAAGGCGTGCCTCAGTCTCGTGCATGCTTGCACGCCGGACCTCGATCCCGGCACGATAGCACGATACCGAATATTTTAAGGCTTGGAATTCTCTGCCGTGAGACGCGGAATCTGTGTTCTGTCCATAGTTTTTAAAATACAAGAAAAAAAGGGGAAAAAGAAGAAAAAAAGTCAACATATTTTTGTAAGATTGTAATTTAGGGTTTGGGTTTTAATTTACAAAGATCAAAACTTTCATCGATAGGGTGTCTACAAGTCCGGAAATAGTACTGATTTTTCAAGGGCGGTCCGGAAGTACTGAAAAAGTGCGGAAATTCCACAAAAAGGTCCGGATTTTTTAAAATTTTTGTCGCAATTCCAAATTTTTGAAATTTTTCTAATTTCATCAAATGGAGATACTGAAAAAGTACGGAATTTTTCGGTTGGAGGAGGTACTGAATTTTTTTAGAATGTACTGAAAAAGTACTGTAAAAGTACTTGTTTTTGACCTGCCTGTTCAAGGTGTCTACTAAGACACCTTGATATTTGATCCATGAACAGTTCGTCATTGTAATGATACCCATGCAGTTTTCCTTTTTTTTCTTTTTTTCTTAACACACATCTTGTCGCTCGGTTGTCACCACCGTGATTCGTAGCAGTTTGAAACAACGGAACAGCTGAGTTTATGATTGCGGCAGGGTAAACAACAACACCTTTTGAAAGCTGAACCAACACACGATAAGACTGTGTTTGTTCATACCTCAACGGTTGCACAGTGCACAATCGGAGCGTTTGTGTCTTGGCCGCCCGCCCCCTAACCACCCTCGAGCCCCCCTGCAATGTGCAAGGTCAAGTTGATAATTCAAACAAGATCAGTGACGGGCTGGCGTCGCGTCGGGTCGTAACTCTTATCAGCAATATTTGCTCGTGTACATACTTCTCTTCGCATTGCAGTCCACGCATTGAGATTGAGATAGCCAACGTTTTCTCTTTCGTGGAGCTTTAAAAAAAAGCAAGTAAGAGCAATCCAAATTTCACGCTCTCCAATCGACAACAAGAATCTACAAATCGGCACTGAGGAGGATTTAATGGATAGCAAATCAGTAAAATTCAAAAACTGAGTTGCTTATAGTGCCTCAACATTCAACATGCAATGCTGCCGTGCTGAGGAAGAACGCCGTATGAAGCTTCAGACGTTGCCAAGTTTCCTCCGATAAAAACCGAATTTACCGGGAAAATTCTGAATAATATTTTCCAAAATTTTGAGACAATTTTGTACGCAATTTAATTGAAGACATCTGAAAATTTAGAGGAAAAATATGCTTAAATTGCGTCAGAAATACATGTTTTATCGAGGGAAATCTGGCAAACCCCGAATGTTCATACGGCGTTCTTCCTTAACAAGTCAGAATGGCGTGGAGTGCTTTGCGAAATGTCGATTTATCTGTCATTTAAATCTATGGAAAAGGATCGGTTAACATGGTGTTGCAAAGACCTTAATAAGCGATTCTTTACCATATCTTCTTTGCATGCATTTTCGATCTATGTCCCAATCCTATTTTCCAGGGAGGGTTCCCTCTCGCATGACCGTACAAAATTTTTTATTGACTCGCTCCACTGATTGTGAGTACCGCTGGGCGCTGCGCTGGCTGCTAGCGAGGCACATTGAGTCTGAAAGCGAAACGCCTTCAATTCCGCGCGTATGCAACACGGATATCCATGGAGTTCAAATAGTTGCATCTAGGAGTTGAAGTTCGAGTATAGTACCATGGACTCTCTCTCACACACACACACACTAACTCAACAGCATGCGACCTTAATTGAAGCTTTGATTCTTCCGTCTGCTACTCCTTAAAGTAATTTCAAGTTGCCAATTGCGCCGATGAAGTAAACCAGCACTGGTTTTTTATCGCGACATCGTAAATTTGCCAAGAAATGCATTCAATTCTAATGTATAAAACTTTACCGGCCCTTAAAATCTAAAAAAAAATAGTTATCTCAGCATGACTGTATATAGAGTTTCTCGTAACCTGCTTTAATGAGTCGTTTTTTTGGTTTTTTTCTTCGAGAGATCTAATTCTCTTGTTATAATGTGCGAAATTTTCGAAGAATTAAATTAAGAATTCTAATGAAATCCATACCAAAACAAGATAATGTAGGTTCCTTTTCAATAGGCCTACACTGAAAAGAAAACTCCGTCGGTGGAAGCTGAACTTACGGTCTATGAAGACATACCGTCCTTGCTCCGGGCTCAGAGGCCGAAAGTTCCGGGCGTAGCACCCGGAGCAATCGAAACTACGGCTTCAGCACCCGGAACTTACGGCCTCTGAGCCCGGAACAGAAGTTATGTCTTTATAGCCCGTAACTTTTTTATTCAGTGTAAATATTGATGGATCCATAGTAGTTCAACGGCATCCATCCTGTGTCCACTCCCATGTTTCATTCATTATTTACGGTGGAAGAAGTGAACATTTTTTACGAGCGGAGACGAAGATCGTGCACCTACCATCCCACCTCATTTTCCTCTCGCCGACGAGGATATTCACTTACATAGTGGCTTTACGCTTTACAGGTCGACGCACCCGTGAAATACGAGTCCAGAAAATAGACTGGAAGGAAGCGATGCTGTGCGTAGGCCGCCGGCCCGGCGCAGGGGTTACCGTAATAATTTCAGACAGTTCAATTTCAACGAGATATGTCTGTGCCCACCTTAAATGCCCCTCCTCCGCCCAGTTTGTCAGCTTTGCAACTCGGCGCACCGCGATGCCCCCGAGCGGTGTATATCCAACTTCCATTTACCCGCGAGTGATTATTAAGTCAGGCGCCGATCGACTGCTTTCCTCCCTCTACGCGTCACGTCGCGTCGTTGCCTCCAAGCTGGTAGCCTAGCGGCTACGCCTCGGAAAATGTCCCACCTCCCCCTTTCGGCGCCCGGTTTCCCGACGACAATCCTTTCGTTTCCCACATGAAAGAACGTAACTGCATTTCAAAGTTGCGAACTCCCCACTCGCAAATTGTATTTTTCCCTAGAAAATTCAAAATCATCGGTTAAGCGAAATCTTTAAAAAGTCACTGCCTTTAATTTATGAATTTGAGATGTTAGCTATATCTTTATTTATTCTTAAAAATAAAAGTTTCGGAGATTTTCCAAAACCTCTAACCATAAAATGGTTTGAAATTTCTGGGCTTTCCTCACACCGATATTGAGGGAAATTTGAATAATCGTAAGTAAGAAGCGTAAGAATCATCAGGGAGCTTTCATTAATTATGCAATGCAGTTTTTTTTAGAATTTTTGACCCCCCCCTCCCCCTTGTAACGCTGCGTAATGCAAACCCGGACCTCATCTTCAGAATTA